TCAGATGAAGTCATATACCATTACTCTTATTATTTACCTGTTCAACTCACACTGTTAAAAACCTGGCCATTTCCCTAATATTCTTGGGCCTTCTTTTCTTAATTCATTCAAGTGTAATGCTAATAAGATAATGAATAACAGCTTGCATTGGTATAATATTTTTTAAGGTTGTTGAGTTTTTTGTTGCTCAGTGATCACATTTGTATGGAGAACTTCCTGTGTGAAACCCCCATTAACAGTTCAGACTTGCATCTCATGGTCTTGATTCCAGGACTGGTACTTTATGCATTATGCTTCTTGCTTCAGAGATTTCCAGATTGAATATATATGGCTCAGATTGCATATATATGACATTGAGTTGGAGGAGTGGGTTAGTCCCCTCTCATGCAAGAAACTGGGTGTCCCTGCTGGGTGTCTGAGGGGAGAGGACTGAATACCCATTCCTTCCTCTGGTAACTAACTACATTTATGTGTGCCTTCGTTCCTTTTTTTTTAAAAAAAGAAGCTTAGACTAAATGATCTCTCTAAGGTCCCTTCCACTTTTAACAAAGTAGGAATCTATGTGAATAGTATAAAATCCTGGGGGTGATATGGTCTGTGGTTCTCCCCTCCTGTCCTACTTCCTCAGTTAAAAAAGAAAGGAAAAAAAAACCCTTGTAACAGATATTCATAGCACAGTCAAAGAAAACAAATTCTCCATTGACCATGTCCAACAAGGGTACCCAGTTTGTTACACCAACAATGGCATTTGTATATTTCAATATTTTGATGGATCCATGATGTCATCAACATCAACAAACATTTATTAAGTGTTAACTCTCTCTCCCTGAGATTGGGGATTGTTTTTGCCTTTTCTTTGTACTCCTAGAATTTTTAGCACCACGCCTGACACATTGTAAATGCTTAGTAAGTGCTTGTTGACAATCAATATGGGTACTCCCTGCATCATACAGATCATTGCTTATCTGTGGTTTCTTGTCTCTTGTTCATGCCTTTCCATAAATACACTTTCAAAGGTCCATGCAGTGTGCTGGAGGACTTCCACTGGTCTGGTCCTTTTTGTCATTTTGTTTAGATTTGAGCAGCGCTCAGGATTTGTATGTGTTTGTTAGCCCTTACTCTCACTGTGTGACCAGTCCACCTCCTTTTTCAGTTCTGTATTTCCTTGATGTCATCTAATCCACTTCTTTTGGGAAAGCCATTCTTGATCCACCCTCCATTCTCTGTTCCCCTCCTTTTTTAGGATTATATGAAGCTGTGATTTTTAGGAATTCGTGGTGGTAAATGATTCACCTAGCCTTATAGCATCACTTAGAAAATACTGGTGTCAAATAGATAGGCTTTTGTGGCAGGGACTAGTTTGGGATCACTCTAAGCGCTACCCAGTTTCCCCCAAATGTGATACAGCCTACTTTTGTCCTGCTTTTCAGGTCTGAACTCAACTCACTACCTGCCTGTGATATTTAATCAAGATAGGTGTCCTGATAGACCAACTCATTTGGAAAGGGGCCTAATAAAAAGACAGTTACCACTTACATTTCTTGCTATTCCTAGAACTTCAAATAGACAGAGAGCAGCATAGGGTAGTAGAGTGTTGGATTTGGATAGAGTCAAAAGACTTGGGTTCAGATCTTGGCTCTGCCACATAGTACTTGTATGATCTTGGACATGCTACTTTAATCTCTCTCTCTGACTCAGTTTCCTTATCTGTAAAATTAAGGGAGTTGAACTAAATGACTGCTCAGGTCCCAAATCTACATTCCTGTGAATTTCCACAGATCTGAGAGAAATGAAAGGGATTCCAAAATGAAGTCTGATTAGGAATGAATTCTTTCCACTAAAGGCTTCCTGTGTTGCTGTTCTATGTGGCATGGAGGTGAGCCTGGGTTTTTGAAGGTTATGCTAAGAGGAACCCAAGTCCCATCAGGCCTTACC